GCAGTGTTATTCCACATCTCTCCCAGTTTCTTTGCAACATCACCAATGGATAGGCCAGGATGTTCTCCTTTGATTTTAGGGCAATACTCAGAACAGAACAAGAAAAAGGCCGAAGGAGGCCTCTTGGGTGCATTGGGATCCTTGAACTTCTTTTTTGTTTCCCCTTTAGGAGGGATATAGGTTTTCATTTCTCTTTCATAACGGCCTTGTCCGCCTTTGCCATATCTTCAAATTTTCCTTTCTCTTTAGCAGACATGGTCTTCCACCTCTCTGAGCACTTCTTAGAAAACTCTGAGAAGTTGACTGAAGCATCTGGGTGCTTCTTCTTGTGCTCCTCCCGGCAAGTTTGCACAAAGAATGCGTATAATGACATTTTGCCTCTCGGGTTCTTAGGATCTCCTTTGCCCATGTTTAGTTATTTTTCCTCAGCGAGGCACAGAGTCGCCCAGTGCCCGTCCAGCTCTCACCTGCCCCGGCGCTGTCTCTATGGAGCTCAATGTACTGCCTATAGTGTTCTTTTCTTATAGTATCTTTATCTGGCTTTGGTATCAGGTAATCCTGGTTTTATAAAAATGAGTTGGGAAGTGTCGCCTCCTTTTCTATTTTCTGGAAAGAGTTTGTATGGAATTGATATTTCATCCTTAAGTGTTCGGTAGAATTCAACAGTCTAACCATCTGGGCCTAGAAAATTTTTTTGAAAGGTTTTAAACTATGAATTCAATTTCTTTATAGTTATAGGATTCTTCAGGTTATCTAATTTCTCTTTGTGAGTTTTGGTAGTTTGTTTTGAGGAATTAGTCCATTTCACCTAGACTGTCCTATTTATGTGTGTTTAGTTGTTCTTAGTATTCTCTTATCTTTTTAATACCTACGGTGTCTGAAGTGATATCCTCTCTTTCATTCCTGATATGGTAAGTTGTGCCTTTTCTTTGTTTATCTTACTAGAGATTTGTGAATTTCATTAGTCTTCTCAAAAAAAACAGTTTGTTTCATTGATTTTTTTGCTATTAATTTTCTGTTTTCAATTTTAATCATTCTGCTCTTAGATTTTTTATTTCCTTTCTTCTGCTTGGGGTTTATTTTATTAATTTTTTGATTTCTTAAAGATCAATGATGTGAGACCTTTCTTCCTGGAGCTCTCTCTGTGCCCTGGTACCTTTTCTGAGTTTCAGAGTACCTTACGTCTAGCCCAGGAGATTCTGGCAGGTAAAAAACAAAAACAGAAAACTCGTTGCTTGTTCAGTACCACCTTGAATTCTGGTCTTCTTCTCTCGTCTGCCTGCTACTTTTTATCTTCCAGAGTCCTCAAGTAGCTGTTTCATGTATTTTATCTAGGTTTTATAGCTATAGTCAGTAAAAAAGACAGAGTGGAGTATACTTACTCCATCTTACCCAGAACTGGAATGGTACATCATTTTTTAATTGCTGTTATAGACTGAATGTTTGTGTCCCCTCAAAATTCATAAGTTGAAGCCCTTACCCCCAATGTAATGGTATTTAGAGATGGAGCCTTTGGGAGGCAATTAGGGTTAAATGAGGTCAGGAGGTTGAGGCCCTAATGATGAGATTAGTATCCTTATATGAAGAGACACTAGAGAGCTTATTCTCTTTCTCTTTCTCTACTTCTTGTGAGTATATAGCAAGAAGGTGGCTGTGTACAAGCCAGAAAGAGTGTCCCCACTGGGGAGCTAAATCAGCTGACACCTTGATCCTGAACTTCCCAGCCTCTCAAAATGTGCTATTTAAGCCATTCAGTCTATGGTATTTTGTTATAGCATCCTGAGCAGACAGAGACAATTGCCAAAATATTCGTGAAAAAAATTCATGACATTACATACTGTGTCACTCTTCCCAATTCAACCACTACTTGTTCCCTGTATTTCTACCTGAACATGTTTTGTGCAAGATTTTTATAACAAATTATACTTAGTTGAATTTTCAGACAGAAAAAGAAACTCCCCAAAACTAGACTGGTAGCTTTAGAGATCCAAATAGTTTTGTATTGTTTGGTTGAAATATATTTTTGATACGTCTTTTTATAATTAATTTATTGCTTGATTGTTTGGTCCCTAGGTCCCTTGACTAAATTTGCTTCAAGTTTCTCTAAATAATCTCAAGGCTAACTGACCTAGGTCCTGTTTGGGCCAATTCCTTTTAATTTTTTATGTCTCTCAGAAGCTTTCTTCAAAGAGAACATATGGCTAAGAGCCCAAAGACCAATTCTTTCATATATAGCCTGATAACATAAGAATCAAGGATAGTATGGAATACATATAATTGAGTATAAGGAAGATAAAGGAGTTTGCTTGTCTCCTGCAGATAATAGTTTTAAATGCATTCATATCTGATAATAAACAAAACACGAATAATTCTTGACCATCAAAAAAGGACAAATCTTCATAATTGGAGTGGAACTGGACCAGAACTAGGCTATTGTCTCAAGTGGGATGAAGACTCTAGATCAGTGAGCTTCAGTACCTAAGGAAATTTCATATTATGCTCTATTGCTCTCCTCCAGATGGACTTCTTTCTTTTCTTTTCCCTTTTCCTTTGCTCTTCCTCACAGTTCTTACATCTGTGAACTTGGCTTAATCAATAGAGTGGGATTTAAAGAAGCTGCTGATCCTTGAGGGGCTTACCTTTCCTTTATCCCTCTGCCTCTGCTATCTTTTCCTTATGTGCTGCATTCCTGTTCCTGTTCTGCCTCTCTATATTGTTGTTCCCACTGCCATGTTTTTACTCTGCCACTCTGGCCAGAAGACACAAATTAACTGTTTGGCTCATTTGGGGAAAAAAAGGATATTATTGATACTGGTCCTAGAATAAGAACACTCTAGTTTTTTTCTCCCACACTAGAGTTTTACTAAAATGTTACATTGTTCCAGAGTTAATCAGGGTAATCTGTGAAATTAAACCTCAATTGTGATATTTGGCCACTTCCGTTTTAGAGAAAATTAAAAGAGAAATATTAGAAAGTAATAATTGATAATTTCATCAGAACTTGTTTGAAAGAAAAAAGTTAGCCTCTTAAATAAAATTAGGAGTCCACATTCGGGGGAATTTTTGTTATTTCTATGTACTGCAACTGAGGAAGAAGGTACATTACTGTATTTAGTTTGTAATTTAAAAAGCCTCACAGCCTTTTTTTTCCCGTTTCAGGGGTCAGAGTATTAACTAAACTTGACACTTCTTCTGTTGGTATTCCCTTTGGGAAACAAAAGATGGAAATAGTGATTAAGGTCTTTCCAGATAATGTCCCATACCAACATGTAGAAAGAAAAGATTATATAGCATGACATGATAATGTAAAGTAACATATGGATGATGTTATTATCTCAGGACCATATAATATCTACCTGATAAGTGTATTTGTGTGTTCATTTATATTTGAACAAGTGTGCAGTCTTTTAGTCATTGAGTTTATAAATACTCAACTAAGCATCTCTCTGCTGCATAAGAAACTACTAGGCATTGTACAAAGGTACAAAGGTTTGCACAATAATTTTTTTTTAACCTCCAAGAACTTTCAGCGGACGTGGGAGCAGCTTCACGTGAAAAGTAAGGTACAGTTAGGAGCTGTCAGGCCTTACACTAGAGGGTCTATATGAAGTTTTGATTCTAAGTCTTACTGTACCTTCTGACAACTGTGAATGAAGCTGGTTCTTGCAGGGCCCGTGATGGTTTGCTCTTTGCACAGTTCAACTGGGACTAGCATCCTTCTAGTTTGTAAGAGACATTCTCTGGGAAGCTAGGCTATGGGGGAGGTGACATCTTCTGAACCTGGTCCCCACAGAGATCTTTAAGTGAGTGGGGGGAAAAAAAGGTTGTGTGTATTCTTGCTCATGTCACAATGCTGGACATGTGACTTCAGAGAAACATGTGACAGGTCAATGTGATTGGGCTGTTATCACAATACGAAACCTTGACCATAGATAGAGTGACTCAGAGGCAAATGCAGTTTATTTAGACTCTTAATTGAAACATTGGTATGACATAAGATTATATTAATAAAAGATGTAAAACTACTTCAACAGTACTGTTTTATCGGGGCATCTTAAAGAACTGGAGGAATCCTTATTTTCTTATCTCCTATCTTACACTTGTTTATAGTTATTCGTGATTCATTCAGCATTTACTGAAAGCTTATCATATGTCAAACAATATGCCAGTTGTCAGAGATGACAGCAATTGTCAAAGTACAAGAGAGTAAGATATAGTACCTGTACTCAGTAATAATAACAGCTAATAGCTAAGACTTACGTAGTGCTTACTATATGCCAGGCTTGTTCTAAGTGATGATTTTATATATATATATATATACATACATGTAAAATCTTCATCAACCCTATGAGTTGGCTACTGTAAAAGAAAATAAAAATCTTAGGACCCCCATCCCCAACCTCCTTATGTAAATAGGAAGGTCAAGTCTGAAGGCTGAATTGTGCAACACCCTCTTCCAAATAAACAGCTCTTACAACATTATGCATTAGGCAGATTCCCACAGAAAGATAAAAGGCCTCAGGCATCTACAAGGACTGCCCCCATAGATTGTTCATGAGGGAATTCTTTGCTGGCCTCCCATAAATGAGGACATGCCAATTGTAACTTTATGTCTGCAGTCTAAGTCTAGCTCCTAAAGTCTATTCGATTTCACACTGATAAATGTTGATTACAAGCTTATCTTCCCAGATCCAGAACAGAGACAAGAGGAGATCAATCATTCCTTTACTTACCCAGAGATGTCTGCATAATTGATTCTTCCTTTACTCCCTTTTTCTCTTCAAACATTCACCTTATGTTATATAAAATGTAGATTTCCTGGGCCCAACTAAAGTCTCACAAGGATATAACCATTCATCTTAGGCCCCTTTACCTACATGCCATCTCCTCTTTAAGGAAATATGTAAATGTTAAACCTCCTGAAAGCCTCTTTGGAAATAAATCCACATATATGTTTACTGTTCACATTTTTCCTGGGCATGCCCTAAAACTGGCTTAATAAACAGTGATTGGTTGAGATCCTCGCCTCAGTCACTCATTTCAGTTGTCACTATTATTATTATTCCCATCTTACAGATGTGGACACTGGGTACAGAGAGATTAAGTAACTTGCCAAAGATCTTAAAACTGCTAAGTGGCAAAAAAAAAAAATTTGAAAGCAAACAATCTGGCTCTAGAAACTATAGTTTTAACCTCCATGCTAAATAGCCTCCCAAGGAACTTATGATCTGAGTACACTTAATAAGTACCTCCCCTTTCAGCATAAGACAGTGGTGAATGGTGGATAGGGAAGCAAAATGTGACTCAGGTTTTGTTTCCTGTAAACACAACACTAAGAATATCTGACTCAATAAATGCTACAGTCTGCCCCAAAGAGAAGAATGGAGTCATAGGGAATTATTAAACACAACAAGAAGGTGGAAATATTTATCAACAGATGGCAATCCAGTTTAATTTTATGTCC